CGGTATTCTGGATTCAAGAGATTTTTAATCTCTTGGTTGTGCCAATCCGATTATTGCTATTTTAGTCAATCTCTTACAGCATTTTTTTACCCAATTTGTTTACGAGTTTTCTTGTCAGAAAGGGGTTACTGAGCCTATATCTGTATTTCTATTGCATCTTTTGCAGAATCTCTTCCTCTACCCCAAACAATCATGCTTTGTTCAAATGTTTGACTTTTTTATTGTATTCTCATTCTTCTAGGAACACTGAAGTTTTTTTACAAGAAGTAGCAATTTGCATCACATTTAAGACACCATGTTTTATGGGAGAAAACTATAAATTAAGAATAAATGTGCTGTCTTTTTGCAGTCACATGCATCATATAACTGAGTATATAATGTGTGTGTTTATTCTAGATAAGGCAATACACAACAGACAATTAAGTGTAGAAAGACCTTTGGAGGAACAGGTAAGTGAAATAAAAAATATTTACAATGTTGTTTGGTTTTGGTATTCCCATAATATTTTGAGTCTTCAGGTACCAGATCCATGAATATCCTAATGGCTTAACAAATGAGTTAAAAATAGACTTCTCAGTAAAGTAAATATTGATGGTGTTGGGTACAAAATAGAGTTTCAATAGTTTTTAAGAACTGGCATATAGAGTTTTACTGTCAGGCATTCCAAAAGCAGGTTGTTAGCTCCAACAGCTCAGAGATGTGTCACCCCTTTGTATTGGCGTCCTACGGGAATATAGCAGGAGCTTGGATTGAAGAAGGAAAATGTAACTGGCATTTACCTTAAAATGGAAAGTCTGTTGCAGCTTCTTGTAATGTCCGATTCTGATCAGAGGATGCAGTGGTACTGATAAAAAGTGCCAAGCGCTTAATCATGTTCTGCTTATTAAGGCAAACTTCTTACTTAGAGTGAAGATCAGGCATTAAGGCTTCTGCTGATATTGATAAATTAAGAGATCACACATTTTAGTGTATTTTTTCCTTCTGCCTGTTTGCTGGTTTGTTTGTTTGTTTTATTTTTGTATATCAGATTGCTGAAGCTGAGGCAGACAAGAATAGGAAAATAGCTCCCACAGGTAAAACATCTTTCCTGGTTTTATAGCAATATTCATAATGGTATTCAAAGAGGTATCAGATTTTATGTCATGTGTGTATTAGTATATTTTCCAGAAAATAAACCAGAGTTCAGGAATTATTCCTTTGTTGATGACCTGAACCTGCTAAAATCAGTAGCAGAAAGAGAGAGGAATGAAAAGGAGAAGGAGTCAATTAGAAGCTCTTTGTATGAACAGCAACTGGCCATTGATGATGCAGACTCCACCAAGAACCGCAGGCTTGTGGATGACTATGACTCCACCAAAAGTGGGCTGGATTATAAATTCCAAGGTATTCTATAATCATTTTTCAGTGACTTTTAGGTTAGACTTCTCTTGCAAACTGATTGCAATCATAAATGTTGTACTCACCACTAAACATGAGCTCTACTTGTTACTGGAGCGCAATTTCAATTATTTCCAGTTGTGGAAGCTTGTATTACAATTAGGTTTTGAAACACAATACAAAAGAATTGCTATTGATTTTCACAGTCTCCCTCCATGGAGGAAAATCCAACTGTGTAATTTGCATTATGTTTTTTAGCAATTTAGACTTGATGGAAGGAAAATGGGACATATTTTTAAATGAAAATATATTTATTGTGATTTGAAAGGAAGAGGCACTTTTATATAGAGCTAAGTCACACAGATTTGTTCCAAATGTTATGTACAATGTTAGATAATTCTCATAACAAAGCTAAAAGAAATTACTGAAGGCCAAAGAATACTTGCCTTTACTACAGGAGTAGATATTTGACTTGTAGTTTAAGTGAGTCCTCTGAGAGTTGTGAACAGCATTTAGCTCCGGATATTTTTAATTATATCAAAGCATGCTGATGACAGACCAAAGGTTGCTCATCATACTCACTTTCCCATTGGTCATGAAGATATTATTTGCCAGAAGTAACGATTACATAATTAAAACTTAATTTGCTTAAATCCAAACAAGAAGATAGAATGCTGTTTGTCATGATCTGTCTTGATCTAAGTGGCCATACAATGAAAGCAGATAGCAGGAAGATGCAGGTAAGCGGATACGTCAGCAGTGTTCTCTCATTCTTACAATTTTTTTCTGTAAACAGGAGAGTATGCTCCTGACGTTCATCTCTGCTCTTTCAAAAGATCCAGTCAGAAAGACATTTTTCCGATGTGGAAAATGGACATAAAGAACTGTTCACTGGCACTGATGTAATGGATTCCAAAGCATGTATCAAAGTATATTCCTAATGTGTCTAAAAAGTGCAGCTTTGTTCTGAAGAGAAAAAGATGTGGGCAGATATTTTTTTACAAGATGTCTAATCCAAATGAGTTAGGACAGTCAGCACACAGTTAAACTGTAATCCTTTTAGATGATCCAGATGGCCTCCATCAATTAGATGGCACTCCTTTGACTGCTGAAGACATTGTTCAAAAAATTGCTGCAAGAATTTATGAGGAAAATGATAGAGGAGTGTTTGACAAGATTGTTTCAAAACTTCTAAATCTGGGGCTAGTAAGTATCTTGTTAATATTTCATTTAGCTGTTTTGTGGGTCGGTTTAATGCTCTTTTAAAAAACAGTTTGTATGTACACTGTGTTCAGCCCTTAACGCTGACTTGAGTGAAAATGAATGGGATTCAGGCTGTAGGCAAGCTTCTTGACTCATTCAGGCACATGGGTTTAGTTCTGCAATAACCTTGTTTTTCCTGTGATGGATTTGCAACAAAATAGGCCAAACTGCAGAATGTTTCTAATGTTGAGAAAAAGGTTCACTGATTGTACTCCTCCCATGTTTGCGCCCACTTTTCCTTTAATTTGTGTTCCGATTCTCACCGAGTTCTTTTGTATTATCGATTGCTTTTGGATGTTTATAGGGAAAAGTCTGAGCTCATTCCTATCCACCTGCTAATTATTGTCATCAGCAGACATTTAATGATGCTGGTTAGTTGAGGATACATTTCTCATTGTTACTGATTTTTAGCAAGGCTGAGTTTGTCTCTGACCTCTGGATATCTCAGTGGTTTTAGCCACTGCAATATGGGATTCATATATTTTTAAATACTAACCTTATCGTTTCTGCACTAGATGTTGCAATTAGGTATTGCATGCTGAATCCCACTGATTACAAAGGGAGCTGTGGGACAGCTGCATGGTAGAGTTCTCGTTCAAATGACAGCTGTTATGAAGCAAAGAAAAAGTGTTTTGATGATGCTCTAGAAAGCTATTTGCTTTTCCCCTTTCTACATTACTGTATTCTGTTGTAGTTATTCAATTGTACACAGGTGTGTTGCAGAACATATATATTCATATACACACACGCACATATATACACATATAGGTATACTGCACTTGTAACTCCATCTTCCAAGCTGGACTCCATTGTATTAAGCCCAATAGGAGTTTGCTTTCCTGTTGGAGGCTATATGTGTGGGTGTGGGGGTTTTTTTGTATACATACATATTTGATGTGTGTTTGTATGTGTGTATATATATGTTTATAAAAATCTAGACGTGTCTATATGTATACATGTATACACATACATACACATCAGTGAAGGTATTACAGCTAATTTGGCTGTGCCCAGCTTTGAAGCAAACATAATTGAAGCAAGCAATTTACAAAGCTGAAGTTTCATACTGATATTTAATCTAGGAAAAACACAATAATCTATAAGTACTTTGCATAAATGTTTTAACAGATCACAGAGAGTCAGGCCTATACCCTGGAAGATGAAGTGGCAGAGGTTTTACAACAGCTAATTGCAAATGAAGCAAAGGATCGTGAGAAGGAGTCTGAAGATTTTGATTATCCTCCAAGCAGGGCAGACAGTGATACAAAAGAAAAGCAACAGGAAAGAATGGTAATTTCTTAGCTAATCATTTTGACTCACTTGCCAAATGGTACAAGTAGACGAATACACTGCTTTGCTTTAGGGAATAAGTAGTTCAATCTGGAAAGTAAAGGTGTTCTTAAAGAAATTCCATCAGATAGAAAAACAAATTGTGAGTTATTTTGAGGTTTAAGCCAGATGCCAAATTGAAATAACTTTGAGAAAATAGTATAGTCTTCACCTCGTAGTTAGGAAAATGTTGGCATAAGTTTATGATGCTATTCATTGCTCTATTAGCTCTATGACTGAAAGAATATGCTTACAGATGTTACTTTTTTATGTCTTTTGTGGAGACACCAAGCAAAGCTGATCAGGATAGTTTCATTAATGGAGAAATTGATGATACACTGGATAACACATGGTCATCATCTAATATCTTCGAAAGAAGAAATGAGCTGCCTTCTGAAGATAATTTTGAAGACCTCCAATATTTTCCAAACTTTTACGCACTATTAAAAAGTCTTAACTCAGGTGAGCTCATCCTGTGTTTACAGGAATATTCAGGAAAAAAAATAGAAAATTAAGATTCTCTCTGTTTTCTTCTACTCCTTTTCCTTCCCTTCCCCACAGCTTTCCTAGTTGCAAGAGACCATGTGCTTTAAAAATGTTCTCCAAGATGCATAGCAGAAACTAATTTGATTAGTGAGTATGGCAAAACAACAGAAGGAACAGCACTCAGAACTGCAGACTGTGTGACCTAGGTAGCCCTTCCCATCTTGTGCTGTATGAATCAGGAGTATTGAATTCTTTCCATTCCTGTAAGGGCATGATAAAAAACTGGCAAATTGTTTTCTCCAGAGATCTTTCCAGTAACATCCGTGTCTTCTAAGCCAACAGACATACGAGTAAGCCACAGTAGAATACTCACAGTGATGGTACCAGTAAATAGGCTGAGTCTCCCACACTTTTCACAAACCACAGGTTTGCTGTTTATTGCAATGAAAGCTCTGCACGTCTCTTCCTATTCCGGTGCTAGACATCATTGCCTTCCAGTTATTGGAGGCAAGATTGTGGCACCTCGCCACAGCCCCTTTGTCAGCACACTCTACCACACACCCACTCTCACTCTTTTCAGCCAACATATCTTCTGCTCTCTCCAGCAGTCGGCAACAATTTATTCTGTAGATTCCTTGTCCTGCGAGAGCCTTAATCTTGCTTCAAACTGTCCCCATAAACACCTGAGTGGAGAGCTAGAATGAAAAACCTGAAGGTATATTTTGCTCAAATCCAATCTACAAATGTCATATGCTTCTTCCTGTTCTTTTCCCCTGGTAGTTTTGCATGCTAGTTCTCCTTTTTCTACTCACAAAACAGAAACTGGTTTAACAGGTTATCAGGCAAACAGAACCAGGTCCCACTGGGTGCACATCTCTGCCTTGGCTCCTGCTTTATGCTGTTCACTTGCTGGCTTGTAGCAAGCTGGAGGAGAGGGGATTCAGTTGCATCCTACAGATGTGTGTTAAATTGCAGGCAGCAATAAAAAACCTATTCAGCAGCTCTCCAAAGGGGTTGGCCCTCTGCCAAGGCTGGGAGTACCTTTCTGACTGTCCCTGTCTGACACTGCCCCTGGCTCTGTTGGGTCCTTCAGTGACAACCTGGGGTGCGGGAAGAGCTTGTGTAACTGTGTGATGGGGGAGTTTCATGCTGCTCATGCAGAAATAGCAGTAGTAGTGTTCAGCAGATAAACACAGTGGAAAAAGAAAGCTAAGAAGCAGTGATCATGAAGATAAAGATGTGTATGGGTACGGAGGATGGATTTTTATAATAAATCATTTTTTGTATCCTAATGCGGAGTCATGATCCTCCCAACCATGTAATACTAAGTTTTGTCTGTACCTAAGTCATGGTCTTGTGCACGGTAACAATCTCATTTGAGACACTCTATATTTTTGTCATTGAACCCATGGATCTTGTAGGAGAAAGGACCTCTGAGCTATCTTCCTCATACAGAGCCAGACTGGTCTATTAAGTAGTTCACAGCCAGATAAAAGAAAAGGACAGAGACTGTAGAAAACTCTGCCTATATCTGCCCTCTGACCAGCAATTTGAACTCTGTCAAGTCACTTATCTCAGTGTGCTTAGTGTTCTTTTCTGTGAAATGGAATTAATATGATTTGCCTTCCCTAACATTGTCTTCCCTTCAAGACAGAAAGCTAAAAGAAGAGCCAAACCCTGAAGTTTTAAAGTATATTCAACTGTACTTAGCAGGAGCAGTTTAAAGGGAAACATATAGATGAGTTCTCCTTGCTAATCCAGCACAGCATTTTCTTTTTACTGAGTAGGTCATTTTTTATGCATGAAGTTTGTGCAGAATTTGCAGAACTGAGTTTTTCCGAGTTGCCTGGAGTCTTTGACTAGTTTTGCTTTATATCTTCACACAGAGACGGAGGCAAAAGAGAAAGAGACCTTGATAACTATCATGAAAACCCTGATTGATTTTGTGAAGATGATGGTTAAATACGGAACAATCACACCAGAAGAAGGAGTTTCCTATCTGGGTGAGAGTACATACTTTGTGCAACAGTGTTATTAATGCTATGTTCTTATTCTACCAACGGTGATAATTATATTCTCATCTTCCTTGCTCTTATGAGTCCCGTTTCAGACTTGTTTGTTCAAAATGTTAAAGCTGAACTTCTAAATGATTGATCATTTATTATGGCAATGTTGAATTCCATACTGCTTTAATATTTCCATCTAATGAAGGAAAGGTTATTTATCAGATATATATTTAGAGGATTATTCCACTTTCATACTTGTGAAGCGCACTTGATTTCAATGGCTTTATGTCAGGGGACAATTAGTGTTTTGCTCAGTTGTATTGAGGTAGGTCATGTACCTGCATTTTCCAAAAAGAACACTTCAGCACCTTTAATCTGTCATCTGTAAGTAGCTACAGCAGACGGGACCTAATGCTGTGGTCTTCTACCAAATAAAACTCCTTCCATCTATGGAAAGTGTTACTTCTTGGCACAGGAATAGTTTTTGAAGAGGATCCACTTTAGAGTCTGTGACTATGCAATTTTGTGAAATTGTTATAATTTCCTGAAGAGAGATTTTGGAATAGCCTGGTTTGGGTTTTTTGTTTTGTTTTTTCACACACCTTTCCTGGCTTTTACACTCTTATATTAACTGTTGGTAGCCTTTCTAGTTAAACAAGCAGAGCTACAGAAGGAGGGCTTATCTGCATAAGCTCAGCACAACCTTTTCATTTTTCTCAAGTAGTCCTGATCTGGGTTAGCCTGAAAAGTTTTTGTTTACATCAAGGCAATTTCTCAGCTTAATAAATCAGCCTGTCGCAGAGATAGGACTGGCAATGATCTTCCATGACTTCTGCTGGCCCGTTTGATACGGGCCATTGCAGGTACATGATTGATAAATGCAACTGTAACTGTATGGATTAATTATCAATTACTTGGCTACAAAAAATCCAGTGGATCGTGATTCACATTCAGTGCATGGTTGCACCCCCTCTCTAAAGAATTCATTATATCTCTGACCAAGATTATCCCTTTATTTTCTGTGAGAAGTCCTTGAATTTTGGAATATTTGTACAATTTATGCTCCAGTTCAGCTCTTTCTCTGGCTGCCTGTGCATTTAAAGAAAGATGCACATGAAGAAATGATTGATTAGAAGCACAGTGGTTTCAGTGTCATTCTACAAATGAAGATAATATGGCTTGAGCAGATATCGCCCTCACTGATAGTGTTGTGCCAGAAGTTAATAGGCTAAATTAATCCCTGATGCAAGACCACTCAGATAATGGAATTACACTAGGGATGCAT